GAAGGGGATAATCACAGAGAGGTGGTGTGTGTGCTGTGTGTGTGAGTGTGTGTGTTGTGTGTGTGGGGATCCTTTGCCCTGGAGCTGTCCTGGGCAGGCCTCTGGTCGCTCATCCAGCGCACCGGATGTGAACGGGAGGGTCAGGTCTTTTAGCTCCACTTCGCCACTGTCTGAAACGTGACGACCACACCCACGTCATGGAGGCAAGCGTATACGCCACCTCCTGCAGGACAGACATACACAACTTCCACAGTCTGGAAACACCTTAAAACCTGTAAGTTCTGAGAAACGGGTGTAAGATGCTTTACTATAGCAAGCCAGGACAACAGACGTTAAAGCAGCTCTATCACTTCATTTCTTTGTGATGCCCTCTTTCAGTAGTTTCAGAGTGTGCAACCCAGCGTGCCTCAGGTGCGTCTGGGCCCAGCGTCGTGTAGCATGACCATCGTGAGTGGCCCTGGTAACCATCTTTAAGGGTTCACCGCAGAGAGACGGGTCCACCACCGTTAAACACGAGGCGTCACCTTGTAGTTCAACCCGTTGTAGTCATAACCTAACATCAGAAATACAGTCTGTAATCGAGAACAACTCCGTCTAGACATGCATTGACAGAGTGCTGCTGCTCACCTTGTTGTCTCTCACACACGCACACACACTTCCTGTGAAACTGTCAGGCCAACTCAGTGGTTTTTCTCTGTGTTCTTTCACTCAGCTGAACACCTCCATGCCTTAAGCATTGACCTCTCTTCGCCTCCTTCCTCTTCTTCTCTCTCTGCTGCAGAGTCAAGGGAACAAAATCCACCATCAGAACCACACCTGGATATCTATGGATCTCCTATCAAACCTCAAGGGGACCGCACAGCTGCTGTTCCTAGACATGCAGCTGTGCTGAGAAAGCAAGAGGGTGGGTGAGCCGGGATTTTGGTGTGGTGGATGTTTGTCTGTTGCAGTCTTCTCTCCGCCATGGCAGCAGCTATGCCGGTGTGCTACCACGGTGCCATCAGCAAGAAGGACTGTGAGGAACTGCTGGGAAGGAAGAACAAGGATGGAGCCTACCTGATCCGAGACAGCGAGACCATCCAGGGAGCCATGTGTCTGTGTGTTTAGTGAGTACTCAGTACACTTTGATGTGACTGTACCTGTTTCTTCCCTGTTATGGAAATATTGGTATTAGAGTTAGTGTTGCTCTTGGTAAAAGTTTTAATATATAAACAGACTCTCTCATGTGTATTTTCAGGTTATATTTGAGTTTTAGTTTCAGTTTACTCAAATCAGAGAGTTTATTTATATTGAAATAGTTAATGAACAACAGATGCATGAACAAGAACCTTTATCTTGTCGTTTGTAAATGAAATATTTTCACAAGAGGTTTGTTTGTAAGTGTGTGTTTGTGATATTTTACCACAATCATTCACTCAACAACAGACATTTTTAAATATTGCATGAACAAGCAGAGTCTTGCCATACTTTATAACAATAATAGATTTCTTTTGGTCAAAGTTAGTTTAAAGACGTGTATGTTTGCACCCAGTTCGTTGTGGTCGGTTGCTGCCTCTGCCTCAAATACAAAGCGACTCTCATGCAGCAATAATTAAACGTAAAGAAAATGCTTCTAATGAGAGAAAAAGGCCTTCAGGTGTGACAGTGGACGGAGGATTCTTCAGCAGTGTAAACGTTGTTACTCGTGTTACCTAAGTTCCTCAATTATCTACTTAATGGAAAATAATGTGCACTTTCATGAACTTTTGCGCAACTTGTTTTTGCTTTTGATGAGGAGGATACAGCTACCTCAAACTCAGAGATGCGCTGGTTCTCTACAATATGCAGCCGTCGCCAAGTGCTTGCTCATGGCGGGAACTGTTGGGTCTCTGTGAATAATGTTAAAAGGAGTTTGGTCTATTTGAAAAGTGTCCTGAGATAACTTTTATTATGAATTGGCGCTATACAAATAAAATTTAATTGAATATCCCATGATCCTCTAGTGGAGCGGCTCTTCAGCCTGCTCAGTCTTGTGCCGACTCCGAGGAGGAACCGGCTGTCATTCCTGGAAATCATCAGTGGTTTTTTTCTGGCAGTATGTCAAACTTATTTGTCTACGCTGCTGGAAACTTTTGGAGAAAGAAACAAACTACTACAACTGCAGTCTGGTTTACGATGTGTTCAGACTCAGAAAACAGTTGAGGCAGCGTGGGTTTATTTCTTTCCACCCAGACAATGTATCAGATATTATTAAGGGAATCAACCAAGAATCAGGCCGATGAGCGGAATCGATAATTGTGTTAGTATCAATAAAATCGTATGTATTCCCAGCTCTATGTATAACCACGGCTTTAGTGATAAAGATGTCAATAAACTGGAGTAGTCTACTCTAAAGATATAGTGACTCCAGCGTTTGGCTCGTTAAATGCTTCGTAATACTTGATCTCAGGCGATTAAATGAGGGTAACAAACTACTTCTTACAGGGAGTAACTAATAAAGTAAAGAGGAATATTTAAGCAGATGTTTTATCATCGTTCTTTATATCATCGATGGTTAAACGTCTGTATGTTGTTTCTCTTTGCAGTAAACAGAGGGTGGTGTATACCTACAGACTGCTGCAGACACACAGTGGACACTATACTCTCCTGGTAAGACAGACCCACATTGCATGTTAAATTCATTTTATTTATTTAACTGACTGCTCAGTTGTATGTTCTGCAAGTTTAATCTCCACCTAAATGCTGTTTCAAAGCCCTCCTTCTACACTGTTAGTGTCCAAACAACACTTAGAGCTTTGTTGAGCTGAATATTGAACCCCAATACAAAATGTGTCTGCAGCAAGTATTGAAAGTTAGTTAGTCAAATGTTTCGGTCAAATTCTTTTGGGTTCATTATGATTTAAATCAGGAAACATTTCTAACTTTGGACTTTGGCCTGATAGAGAAACAATACTAAGGACATGACCTCAGTATTGTTTCTCAACAGAAGGTTTGTTTACAGGAATACCACAATTGAAGCAAGAAAACCAAAACCAAACTAACAGCTAACAGTCTTCTGCTGCTGAACAAGTTTGACTGAGACCAAAGTCTGTCGATGCCAGACGAGGTAGAGAGCAAATACCAGTGACCACAAAACAGTGTTTGTCCTTTCTGGGCTTCTGTAGACATACGTGAGTTCAACATGAACTCATCTTATATTCAGGAGATTATACACGAATGAAAACACCTATAAACCTATAAATATTATATTCAGTTGTTACACACTGGAGCTTCAGTTATAAACAGGAATAAAACAACACAATAAACTAAAATATGGTAAAATAAGTTGGAAGTTCTTTATAATCCAGCATATTTGCTGTTTTCAGAGCAACTCTTTTTTCCAGTTCTTTGAGAGTTCAGCCTAAATAAATCTGGCAACCACAGGTTTTCCCTACTCATATATTAAATTTATTAGAAAGATGTTTACGTCTTTAAAAGGAACATTACAAATGGAAACTCAGTAGGTCAGGCTCACCCCCACGTCGCACAGGAAACTCCTCTGACGTCAGTTTAACAAAAATACTCCACTTTGTATCACACTTGCTGATAGAGGATACTGGTTTTTTTTCCAGTCAAAGCAAGTATCTCTCAAATCTGTACAAATGTTAAGTGTAAACAGAGTTTTCGCCCCCAGATCTCTGAATGACTACAGATATTTTACTTGGTGATGACAATAAAAACAAAATGTCAACTCTAACTGGTGATCAGGCCTCTACAGCTTTAGATTTTATAACTAACAGTTATAACCATATAACAAATTACATTTCAACATTTTGGCTGACCTTTGCAGTTTTTGTTCCCACTTGAGGGAACGATTCACCTGAATATTCCCATTTAGGAGCTAATTTTTCAGATTATTCCGACACACTGTGAATGCACCATTTGAGCTGAAATGATAAATCAAAGCTGTTTTAGTAATGAATTAATACTTTGCTTGTTCCAGTTCCTGTTTTATATCATTTTAAGCTAAATCTCTGTTTGTATACCTTTTAGGCATCAGGAGGTTTGCAGGAGACGAGTTTTAAGACTTTGGAAGATCTGATCCATCACTATAAAAGGAGGAACCAGGGCCTCGCCATACACCTGCGCCACTCCGTCAAAAGGAAGACAGCCATGTTGATCCAGTCCCAAAGACAACCTGAACCTGAAGCGGTGCCACAGAGGCAGCCGGCGCCACAGAGGCAGCCGGCGCCACAGAGGGAGCACCCGCCTGCACCTGAAGAAGACCACGACTATGAGAGTAAGTCACACCTTTAATCTCTTCACAGCGTCTCCTTTTGATTTGTGGTTTTATTTTTGACCTTTTTCTCCATTTTCCTCCAGATGCTCCGGACCTTTCTGAGTACGTCGAAGTCCTGCCTTCCTGAACAACTCTGACTTTCAGTATCAAACACACAGTGGAAAAGACATTTAAACAAGGATGACAGGTTCTCAGACTGACTCAAAATCAGCATTATGAATAAGGAACTTGGACAAATGGACAGACGCTGAAGAAGAAACTCTTTGTCTGCTTGTGTGATTAGGGCCTCACCTGGTAGAGCTGGAGCTCCACAAACCGAGGCTGCGGCCGCGAGGGTTCGAATCCCCTCTCTTGACTCCTTTCCTGTCCATTAAAGGGAAGTTAAGTTATGTTAATTATATATTTTTTTACTTGTTCTTTGGTGTCTGTGTCCACTTTGGGAGCCTGTCTATGTTCCTCAGCTCAATATGACACCATGGAAGAGACCTTTCGAAGGGTTTTATGTTCTCAGCAATGTTCTTTAGACACTGATATCTCCATTGCATTTGAACATCAGGAACACAGTGATGACCCCGTCCACGACTGCGGTCCAGACTGAAGTATCTTTAGACATTAAAGGACCCCAGTGGATGAACTGTAATCACTTTGTTGTTTGGTGATATTTAACATGCTAACACGCAGCTGTCTTTGTGGTTATGCATGTACACTGTGTTGGTATGTTATTTCTGTTCAGTTGAGCATTAGCATGATATATTTGTGACACCTACAGTGAGATGCTGACTTACACTTAACGTCTCAAATCTGATTCTAAATGCTAAATATAGATAATTTGCATGTATAAAGTGTTAAGATCTATTCAAAGAAGTCATTGGTGCAGATCAGTATCAAAAGAGACATGCTTATAGTCTTAAAGTATTAAGCCGCTTACAGCTTCTAACTGAGCTTTAATACAGTCCAAAGAGGTCGTTTCATGTTCTTTCAAGATGAATGTAGAAACACTCACGTAGACTATCGAGAAGTGGCATAAAATTAAAGTATATTTCTCATGTTTTTCTTTGTATATATATTTTTTTTCATTCTTAACAAATTCCAAGAAAAGACAAAACCAACAGTGTCTCTCAAGACTTTCTTACTTCCTCTGTCTGTCTGTGTGTCGCAGCCCAAAGCTCACTGGTTCCTACTGAAGAGGTGAATCTTTTTTTTAAAAGGTTTCTTAATTTCATCACTGTACTTTTCTTATAAAGCAAACATACAAAAACAAAAAAACTGTTTTTAGAGGCTATTTTCTGATTAATCTACTTTTGGTGCTCTAGTGGGGCAGCAGGAATGCGTATGTGTGATTGAATAAAAAAAAAGAAAGGATGGTAACATGTGACCCAGTGCGGCTCTGTGGCCCAGAGGACGAAGATATATCAGGCTTTAATACACACATAATATTTGTTTGGACTTAAAAGAACCTTAAGTGTGTGTTAGGAGTGGGTTTCGTTGCTCCTCTCCTGCTGAAAAATTCTTCTTTTCTCATCAGACCACCAGAGAGAGAGAGAGCTGTCACAGCCTCTGGTGATTCAAAAGCAGGTGCTCAAGAAAGTGATGCACACAAACAAACCAACGACACACAGTACCTGTGGTGAACCGCCTGTGTGTGAATAAGTCTTTCGTCCGACTATATTGAGTTACAATAAGTGTTCAATGTTGTTTAAGCCCAGTGAGAAGCTACAGTTTCTAAATGCACACTATTCTTAGGTCACAGAGATAATATCTGTGTTGATTCTTTTCATAAATTAGGATTTATCCATATATTTGACAGCATTTGTTCAAAGGCCACTTGAGAAACGACAAATATTACCCACAGTGCATTGCCTTTACACTATTATACTGTTTTAATGGGAAACTTTATGTTGCTCTCAGAATCTAACAGAATTAAAAAAATTATGACACCATTATGACACCACCATTATGACACCAGGATCTCGTAATTACGAGATCCTGGTGTCA